GAGTAATATCAGATGTTCAAGTCATTTTAGAAAAAGCGAAAGAACATGAGACATTTCTGATGCATAGTGGATAATTGAGAAAGCCAACTAAAACAACAAGAAGTCAGAATGTACTTCATTAATTATAGAAAAGCCTTTGGTTTTATTAATCATGTCAAGCCGTGGAACGTGCTTAGAAAAATGGGAGTCCTAGAATATCTCATTGTCCTTATGCAAAACCTATATATAGTTCAAGAATCCGCAGTATAGATTGCACTTGGCGAAACAGACTAGCTCCAGGTTGGCAAAGGAGTGAGATGCAGGGCTGTATACCTTCCCCTTATTTATTCAACCAGCAGTGAAAGTTGGACCATAAGAAAGGCTGAGCGCCAAAGAATTGAGGCCTTTGAACTATGGTGCTGGAGAAGACTCCTGCGAGTCCCCTGGACTGCAAGGCCATCAAACCGGTCAGTCCTAGAGGAGATCAACCCCGACTGCTCTTTAGAAGGCCAGATCCTGAAGTTGAAACTCAAATACTTTGGCCACCTAATGAGAAGGAAGGACTCACTGGAGAAGAGCCTGATGCTGGGAATGATGGAGGGCAAGAGAAGAAGGGGACGACAGAGAATGAGGTGGCTGGATGGAATCCCTGAAGCAGTAGGCATGAGCTTAAAGGGACTTCAGAAGATGGCAGAGGATAGGAAGGCCTGGAGGAACATTGTCCATGGGGTCGCGATGGGTCGGACACGACTTCGCAACTAACAACAACAATATGCTGAATATATATGTTAAGGGAAATTGGATAGGAAGAGGATGACCGTGGTTCAAAAACTGTATAAAGAAACACCAATAACCTGCACTATGTTGATGTGACTACTCTGGTAGACAAAAATACAAAAATAAAAAGATCTAGTCATAAAAGTAAAGCAGCACAATAAAAGAAATGAATGCACCGTTGGAAGAGCTGAAAGATCAGGTTAGGCAGTGGCCCCCAATCTTTTTGGTACCAGGGACCAGTTCTGTGGAGAGAGGTTTTTCTGCAGGCTGGGGGGGGGGGCTGGTTTTGCATGCTGCCTGTATCCCGCGGATGGAGCTTCGCTTGTTTGTGCAGCCCCGTTTCTGGCATGCCGCAGCCTGCTGCCGGTCCATGGACCAGTGTTTGGGGACCCCTGAGGTTAGGGACAGATCATCGTAGAAAAAAATCTATATATGTGGTTGCTAGAAATCAACCACAGCTTAATGCCACATAATCAACCGTGTTTCTTTGAACAGCAAAGTATTTTCAGAGATCAAGGATAAACCAAAAAGCAGAGAATCTGTAAGGTAGCCATGGTATCAAAATTCATCAATTTAAGGCCTACAGCGGGAAGCAACTCATAGCTTGAACAATAGACTTACTTTAGTATTTCTTCGCGACACTGCCTCTGTGTGGCAAAGCAAGCAATGGCCCACATCTTGATTTCCACACCTGTATGAAACTGTTTCCCACGCATATCCCATACACCATGGCTTGGTGTCGCCACTGTTCGATTCTAAAGAAATAAAACAGAAATATCAGTGTACTTGCAGTTTACACAATGAGCACTAGATGTCATGCCACAGATGCATAAAATTAGACTAGGGACTAGAGCAGGGGTAGGCAATCTTGGCTCTTTTTATGACTCGTGGACTTCAACTCCCAGAATTCCTGAGCCAGCCAGGAATTCTGGGAGTTGAAGTCCACGAGTCATAAAAGAGCCACGGTTGCCTACCCCTGGACTAGAGAAATGAAATTAAAAAAACCAAGACAGTCCAAAGCTACCAATCCAATTATATGAGAATAAATCCAGAGAAGAGCTTCTTACCCGCCCTCCATACTGCAACATCGGAGCTGGGAGCACTCTCCCCGTCACATGAGCCATCTCGTCACGCACTTTAAACTGGAATTCCTGAACAAATGGGTCAGCATCATAATTTGCACTTCGCACCTGAATTAAAGAAGAGATAAAGAGGGGACAATAGTTAAGTGATAATAACTCTACAGTAGCTGACTTCAGTACTTGTACAATAATAAACTGATATGATTAAAAAAGAGAGGAGACATTTGGGAGGTGAGGAGAAAAATGGGGACAAGCACACTGGATCCTCAATGACCCCTCCAGCTGGCTTAATATCTATTTTTCTAATTCAAAGGCAAACTGACCAGTCTGCTGATTTCTTCTTGTCTGTCAGGTGCAGACCTGGCTGTTGCTTTTATCATTGTTGACGTTTGATTGTCTGTAAGCTTCTTAATACATCGCTGGCCTGCCACGATGTTACAAACCTGCAAAAATATTACACGTTAATCTTACGATAACCAGTGAACAAACAATGGAGCTATACAATTGCGAATATGTTTCTTATATACCAGGGGAAACTCCACTTCCACCAAAATAACCTGCTATAATAATGCTGTCCAATGGCATCCTGCGTATGTATGCTTCATGGCCAGAATTTCCCAGGGAATATGAAGACCTTGGTTGAGAAGTCTAGAAACCGAAGGGCACCCAGGTTTGAGAAGCATGTTCTACGTACGTCAATAGTACTTTTGTGAATTGACTGGATAGTATTGCTTAACTGATTATGTGCCATCAGGCCTGGATCAATCCTTAGCAACCACATAGATTTCCTCCAGTTTGATTAATCCCTAGCTTGGTCTTTCAGGACTTTAAGTGGTGAGATACTACTATATCTAAAAAAAAACCTGAAAGAATAGAATAGAATCTTTATTGTCACTGTGTAACTCACGACGAAATTAAGTAATCAAGCTTCTACAGCCAGTGTTTTTTAACTTGACACTGGGCCCAAAGAATAGTGACTCCTTACAAATCTAACAAATACATTAGAACATAAAGTTTCACGAGCAAAGGCTGCTTTAGACTCATGGTTATCTTCAGTTCACAGGAAAGCTCACATATACAGAATGTATGCATTGTTTAAAAAAAAAATTAACATTTTCAAATCTGCAAATGAAAGATTCTGGGGTCTTCAAATGTTTGAGAGATTGTGATATCAAATACATTACTTCAAGAGGCAGATAGGTGTGTTTCTGCTCCTGTCCCACTTGTAGACAAGGAAGATGAGGATACTTCAGCTGTAGGTTGTACTTTTCTCTGAAATACTGTGCTACTGTTCTCTCCACCGTCTGACCATTTTCTAACTGCAATGGAAATCTGGAAAGTGGAATTGAAATAATAGTTAATTTGCTCGGGTCTGTGGATCCATGGATTTTTTTCCTCCCATAGTATATGCAGGCAGTCCTTGAACTACAACTGTACATTTAATGATGGATCGAAGTTACAACAGTCTTGGAAAAAGTAACTTAAGATACGACCCATTCTCAACGTTAAGACTATAGCACCACCACTAGAGTCACAAAGTGCTCATCCAATCTGACAGTTCTGCTTGATGGGTCCGGGGTGGGGGGAGGAGGGGGCCCCTGGTGGTGACGACTAAAAAAATAGAAATATAAATTCTAAATAATGTATAAAAAATATTCTCTAATGGGGAAGGTTGAGACCAAGATCGGACATGTGAACTTTGCAGGTTTGATCTGCGGTTCCCCAAGATCATTGCATTGGGGGGGGGGGGTTGTTAGGTAAAATCCAAGAAGAAAACAATATGGCTATGGAGAAAACAAAACCCCCATCAGCACTGAGAGGGCAAACCTCATTCTCTTCTAGTCCTTCCTTCCTTCCCTCCCTCCCCATTCTCCTTCCTTCCTTCCTTCCTTCCTTCCTTCCTTCCTTCCTTCCTTCCTCTCCTATCCCTCCTATCCCACCACAATTTGGGTGCTTTGCCATTGGCTAACATTTGCAATAGTTGCGGCATCTTGCAGTCAGGTGGTCGTGATGTCACCTTCCCAGCCAGCTTTTGATGAGTGAAATCAATTAACGACCACGTGATTTGCTTAATGCCCACAAAGATTCACATAACGACCATGGTAAAAATAGTTGCAAAATTGGATCTAGCCACAAGCATTTGCTTAACATTGTTTAGCAACCAAAATCCTGGTCCCGGTTGGGGTTGTAAATCAAGAACGACCTGTATATTATATTGTAGCCACGTATGTTAACTGTGTAATTTAGCCAGGCACTTACGTCTGATGACTAGCAGGTCTCCGTGTAACATTACAGACGCGGTATTTCCGCCTCATCGTTCCACAATGAGTCACTTCAACCTTCAGACCTGGATGAAAAGAGAGAAAATACTGACGTCAGAGAATGCTTGTACAGACACAAGATGTTTTGTAACAGAACTTATTCATCCCTTATATAAGATTTGCTATAATTTCTACATATGCCACTGAAGAAAGAAGAATGGTTAGACATTCCTAATATAATCCCACAGATTTGTGGCCCCTAAACCTTCCCACAAAACAGGACTAGGCGATATTTTACAATGGTGTTTTGTTTTGCTTTTTTAAAATTTCCCTTTTGTATTATTTTTTCAGCCCCAAGCGCTGATGTCACCAAAATGAAATAAAATGTTTTTTCCTCTTTTCTCTCAGTTTTATGGGATTGCTATGTTACTGCTGTGATGCCTGACGTGTTAATCAGAAGGATTAACACACTATTGTTACTCTTATTAGAAATAAAAAAAACTGCCACTAATTGGTGGTTTCTACTAAATTTCAATGGCCCAATTTTGGAGGGCCCCAGGGTTTACAAAAAAGGGGGGGACCGTTAGCCTGATCAATAGCAAATTAAATGTATCTTTTCTAAGCATGCCAAATCCAAAAACTAATGAATGTCAATGTGTTAGCTTGAATTTTTCCAAAAGATGGCCCAGTTAAAGGCTCTGATATCTAGGAAAACCCAGTGGGTTATGAAGACAAGTTGGTTTTGATGTCAGCAAATGGCATTTTCTTTCTCCCACCACAAAGAACACGGACAGCACCCGAAGGCATTTTTTTTCCTGTTAATGCTGCTTGCCATATCTGGGAAAATAAAGCTCTAAAAACCCCAAAATATCAAGACAAACACAGGCGTCCTGTTATCTCCTTTATGCAAGGAGATAACCATGTTTCACTGAGAGGTGTCTTTTTTCCAATTCCAGTAGTATCAAAACCTTTTTGTGGACATTCATTTACTTTTTGATTAAAATGAATATGAGCGAGTGAACGCATCGCAGAGAACAATGGCTTCCTTCCTTCTCAAAAGTCTGTCCATTTCCAGGGTGGAAGGAAGCCATAGCCTGTGAAGGCTAAAAGGAAATGAAACGGCAAATACGATCCAAATCAAAGAATCCATATTTGTCTTTTCTCATCTCATAGAGCAGAATTGGCCCAGACAGCATCCACACCAGCCAACTGGACACATATCTTTAAAATGGCTACACACTTTTTGCAAGATTTCAAGTAAGAAGATGCAAGACCTTGGAAAGGGGGGGGGGTGCGTTATCCAAAATATAACATTTTTCTGGATTTGCAACATTTGGGGCCTTTTATTTCTTTTCTTTTTTTTTCATCCCTCTTCATGCAAGATTACACGGTGGCACACTGCCCAGGAAAAACACTGCTGATGCTTGCCATAAAGGGACTACAGCTGCTAGTCTGAATGCCACTGCGCAGCACTGATAATTAGAACTGAAATGGAGGCTTATCAGCAAACCTGCTTTGCTGGTTTCAAAAGAGCATGTCTCACTTTACTGTCTCGGGATAAAGAGTAATATTTTTCACTACTGCTAATTTAAAATATGCACAGGCATCCTTTGATTTAAAATAGCCAAAGTAGCTTCAGGTACACACAAAACATATCCTCAAAAAGGATGTCTTTCTTCCAATTCCAATACGGCAGGGGTGTCAAACTCAATTTCATTGAGGGCCGCATCAGCATTGTGGTTGCCCTCAGGGGGCTGGGTGGGTGTGGCCAGGGTGGGTGCGGCCTACTGGGTGGGCGTGGATGGAGTGGGTGTGGCCTACTGGGTGGGTGTGGCCAGCTCTACATCGTTCGTGTCAAGGGGGCCTGTGGGGTCCTGGGCAGGAGAGGGACAGATCTGGGGGTCTCTGGCAGAAGGGGGTGGGACCGGGGCAAGCGCCAAGACATGGTCCACTGGAGGAGCCTCACTGTTCCTCTCAGGTCATGCGGGGGGGGTGCCTTGTGGAGCTAAGACTGAATGCGTTTCAGCATAGATGGCCACCACAAAATTGTACATTGGCTCCCGGCCGGCCTGGACCAGGGCCAAGGCAGTGGGGCTGTTCCCTCATTGTTTCCAGGATGGCTTCGCGGGCCGCATGAAACCACTTCGCGGGCCGCATCCGGCCCCCGGGCCTTGTGTTTGACATGCCTGCAATACGGCAATATTTTCATTTATTTATTGGTACTTCTCGCCTTTGGTCCAGGAGCTCAAGATGGCATACATAATACTCCCACTCCCCATTTTTTTTCACAACAATCTGCAATAAAGTTGGTTGGCCTGAGGGGAATATCTTCGCCAGAGTCATCAAGTCTGCTTCCATGGCTGATATGGGATCTGACTCTGGATCCCAGAACTCAGGTAATCCTCAAGTTATGATCGTAACTAAGCCTGGCAATTAACAGTTCTAAGTCAGGATGGCTGTAAAGCCGGTTATCACGTGACCAATTTGATTTTACAACTTTTTTCTGCGATGGTTGTTAAGCGAACCTGGCAGTTGTTAAAACAAACCCACTGTTCGCTATGGGCTGGGCCAAAAAGTAGGAGTAAATGCTAGTTTCTGGCAAAAACGTCATAAATTGTGATCCTATGACTATGGGATGCTGCAAACGGCCATAAACCCGGGCCAGCTGCCAAATGCCCCAAATACAGTCACGTGACCCCAGAAGGGGTGTGTCATGCCTCCGTGGGAGCCTGCAGAGGAAAATGAACTGGAAGGGGACCCTATGGAGGTCGAGGGAGAGGGGTCTGTGGCTTCAGAGGAATGTGGGGAAGAGCAGGCCAAGGCAGGCCAGGGCCCTTCAGGATTGGGACAGGAGGAACAGGAGAGGCAGTGTTCAGGAGATGAGCAAGGGCCACCCCCACTTGATCCTAGAGCTCGGAGAGTGGAGAGAAGGAGGGAACAACGCAGGCAGGCTCAACTACTTGGGAGGAGAGCGTCCCGCCCCTCTCCACAAGGCACACCTGGAGACTGAAATTTAAGGAGATGCTGTGGGGAGAGGCATTTGTCGGGAACAAACGCTGATTCCTTGGAGTTTGGTGTGTGTTGTTGCTGATCTCTTGTTCTGTGACTTCTGCTTGGAAACCTGGAAACTCTGACCATTGGACTGGCTGACAACGTTGCTTGGATGTTTAAAGAACTCGGACTGTATTTTGGCTTCCCTTCTGAAACTGCTCAGGCAAGCGTGTACGCAGACTGGTTAGGTTTATGACGTATGTGTCATTCCTTGTTATCTCCGTGGCCTTGAGTAAAATTCTCTCCTACTCAGACTGTAGGTGAAACTACTTGCAGCCAGAGGCGGCTGAAGGTGTGTGTGTCTTCCTTTGTTTGGAGGCTTGCCAGAAACGTGGGAGCATTTGGGGAAAATTTGGAGCAATTAAAGGCAGATTGAATTGCCAGCTGACTGCATTGCCTCTGCGCTGTGCCCTGGGTCATCACAGGGTGGCGCTGGAGTTGTGGAACTGTTCAGAGATCAGTTGTAAGTCGAGGACTACCTATATACCACGCAAGACAATGTTTTGATAGCTGGCTGAAGTAAGTAGCAAATGAAAGAGAGTAGAAATATTTCAAACAGTACTATTTGAACGTAACTATAATCTGGATGCTCCCTATGTCTTACACTGGGTGCATTTGTAATGTGACTGTTTGGCTGGCATATAACCAGCCTAGTTTTGTCAGGATGCTGCATTATGGCAGCTGAAAGAATACAGTAGTAAAAGCCAATCAGAGATGATCCACAGTGTGGCTAGAAGTCAAGAGATAAAGACGTAGCACACAATTCTGGCAATGAGGCCTTCCTGGCCACGCAGACTGAAATCTCTACCATCCAGGCAGCTGGAAAAAATCCTTTCATTGTTTACTGGGACATGATACATTTTCAAGAATACAAATCCATTGCCCATCACCCAGATGCCATGCTAATAAGTCACTATGTGGCACCAAGGATAATGTCCCATTATATGCTTTTGATTAATGTGGAGGTCTGAGATCTAAGCAAGCACCTCCTAAAGCAATAAGATTAGTGCGGTGTGGATACGTGCTACATTATTTTATTATTATTTTTTACTCACCCTTTATCTCTTTGGTGAATTTTACACGGTGAGAATCAGTCAGAGGTCGTGGCTGTTCATCAATGTTGTGGATATCAAGAACTTCACACATGAACTGAATTACAGGTTGTGCTTTGTAGAAGGCAGTGGCAGAAACTAGGGGAGAAAAATTAAGGAAATAAATGGACTTCAAAGTTGTGATACAATCTCTTATCTAAGATAAAGGATCTCATCAACTGGAGGGCCTACATTTCATCCCAGGGGTTCTTTAGAAGCAGTCTAACGCCTTTTCTGATTAACGCATTTTATTAAAAGTGAGTTGCAGTTCACAAAAGCTCCTTCCTTTTAAAATAAAACCTGTTAGTCAGGAATGGTGCTATCAGACTCCTTCTGACAGACTAACACAGCTTTCCTCCTACAATGCGCAGGAGTTCTTTGTTTCTCCTCTAATTTATTCTGATTCAGACGCTGGTATCGAGACAAGATGGGGTTGAAAACGTGACATCAGATAGGGCAAATCTGGGAATTTTTTCATATGCTCGGCTGTGACGAGAATTATAAACAAGATGCATATGCCACCTAAACAGTTTCCCTCACTGACATAATCACAAGTAGAAAACTTGACTTGTATCTTAAATTATGTCATGAATAAACACTGACCTCTCTGCTACTAAGCAGATTCCTCATTCTCTTACCAACTCCAATATTGGACCGCACACACTGCGTTCTTTCCAGCTCCAGTTTTTGGACCAAAGCATTTTAACATACATGTAGTCCTCAATTTAAGACTGTAATTGAACCTGGATTTATGGTCCCAAGTCACTCTGATTGTTAAGCAAGTCACATGACCAGACCCAATTTTATGACATTATTTGCAGCGGTCATTAAGCGAACACAGCAGACATCCATTTTATGAATCCATTTTACCCAATGGGCAGGTTTTGCCAGAAACCTAAAGTAAAAAACATCCAAAATTGCATTCACATAACCGGGATGCTGCAAGCAAACTGCTGAGTGCCCAAATTGCAATCGCTTGGCTGCAAGGGTGCGTGTGTATGTGTTCGTTGTAACTTTGAAATTGGATGATAAATCGTTTTTTGGAGGGTCCGTCATAAATTGTCACTAAGAAACTGGTCATAAGTCAAGGACCACCTGTATTCAGGATGCCTGAATTTCTTTTTGCTTTTCAATATTCTTCAACTGATTCAAATGTCTTTTGTTTTTATCGGACCTAATATTCACTCTATGATCTGGAAATCTTTTCTTTTTCTTTTTTAAAGAAGTTTAGGTCCAGAAAATTTCTAAATAAGAATTAATTTAATCTGGAATTTTGCCGGTCAAGTTAGACATAAACGCAACCAATCAATAAAAAACATTTCCATAGGAATTTTAAATTTTGGAGTGATGTGAAATGTTTTTGCTTGGAGAGAGCAACTTAAAAACTGATTAGCTTTTGTGCTGGTCTGAGAGACCCGGAGAGAAAGAACTACTTTATTAAAAAGCATAATACTCTTTTAAATGATCTACCTATAGTTTAGGTGTCATATACCACAGAAACAGAACCACCAGGAGCCAAAACATCCCGATGCCAGTCTGGTCTAGAATCCCTGCTGGGATCTTGCCTGGCACCAACATGGCCAATGTACAAGCAAGAGAATCAGAATAAACATCTACACTATTGAAGTCTAGATGCAGTTTATTCTTCCATGGGTTAATTAGAGGAAAGTAATCAAGCCAATTTGAGGTTCAAGCATGAAAATATGCTTCAGAATTGCAACGTAAATTCTTCTCTTTCCTACCTCCACTTACAATTTCTTTGGACAGACGCACCCCTGTTATTCCTAACAGAACAAAATAACATTTGCTTTGTTTCCCTAATTCCATGTTTCTCAACCTTGGCAACTTGAAGATATGCGGACTTCCGTCCCAGAATTCCCAAGCCAGCATGGGGAATTTATAAAAAGTAAACTTGAGATTTGTAAAACAGAAGGCCTTTTCCTTACAAAATGCCAAAATGAATTGTCTGTGTTTAAGCCTTCATAAATGCATTCTCATGTCCATACGAAACGTCAATCTTTTATAAACCCCGCACCCCTCGTCTGCCGCTTCTCAAACAGAACTGGTGGTTACCATCAATATTTAGCATCATTTTCCACATTGCTGGTCGAACAGACTGATGAAATCCAAACCAAACTTCCCTGCCACCTCCCAATGGATGATCATAGCCTTCGGGAGCCGAAAAAAAGGAACGGCCTACAGGTGTATACCTATGTAGGGAAGGAACCAAATTTTTAATTGATCTATTTCACAGGTCATCATAAACTACATCAGACAGGTCAAACTCGCGACGTATCGGAGCTTTTTCCACACTGCCGGCAATGGGGTGGGCGCGGTTTCCTGGCGACGCGTCCGGCCCACGGGCCGGCAGTTTGACACCCCTGAACTACATGAATGCCTGGTGGCTCATAATAATCATAAAACAATAGAGAATAATAAAAAATAAAGAAAGAAAATACAGGTAGTTCTCAAGTTATGACTACAATTGGGATATGCAATTGTTAAGTGAGTCATGCTCATTTTTACTACAGTTTTTGATGTACGATCGCAGGGAGGGTGCCACAATGGTAACTTCTAGGATGGGTCATAAGTTACTTTTTCCAAGACCGTTGTAAGTTCCAACCATCATTAGACGAATGGTTAGTTAGGGGCATGGTGGCTTAACAGTTAAGATGCTGGGCTTGTCAACCCAAAGATTGGCAGTTTGAGACCCACGTACCACATGACAGGGTGAGCTCCTGTTCCTGCCAACCTAGCAGTTTTGTTGTTGTTAGTTGCAAAGTCGTGTCCAACCCATCGTATCTGACCCTATGGACAATGTTCCTCCAGGCCTTCCTATCCTCTACCATCTTCTGCAGTCCATTGAAGCTCACGCCTCCTGCTTCAGTGACTCCATCCAGCCACCTCGTTCTCTGTCATCCCCTTCTTCTATTGCCTTCCATCTTTCCCAGCATCAGGCTCTTCTCCAGTGAGTCCTTCCTTCTCATTAGGTGGCCAAAGTACTTGAGTTTCAACTTCAGGATCTGGCCTTCTAAAGAGCAGTCGGGGTTGATCTCCTCTAGGACTGACCGGTTGGATCGCCTTGCAGTCCAGGGGACTCACAGGAGTCTTCTCCAGCACCATAGTTCAAAGACCTCCATTCTTTGGCGCTCAGCCTTTCTTACGGTCCAACTTTCACAGCCGTACATTGCAACTGGGAAAACCATGGCCTTGACTATACGCACTTTTGTTGGCAAGGTGATGTCTCTGCTTTTTAGTATGCATACCTAGCAGTTTGAAAGCATGCAAATGCGAGTAGATAAAGAGGTACCACTTCGGTGGGAAAGTAACAGCCTGCCATGTGCCTCAGCATACAGTCATGCTGACCACATGATCACCGAAGCATCTTTGGACAACACTGGCTCCCTCAGCTAGCCAATGGAGATGAGCACTGCCCCCTGGAATCAGACACAACTGAACAGGAGAAAACTTTACCTTTTTTTTCAAGTTGAGGGCTACCTGTGTTCCTTCACTGATAACCATTCATTTATCAACCATTCAAAGTTACAAAGGTGCTGAGAAATGTCCCTTAAGACTAGTTCTTGCACCTACGACTGCGGCAGCATCCCCACAGTCATGTGATCATGATCCATGTGCTTTGTAATTGGCTCGCATTTACAACAGTTACAGCATCCCAGGGTCACATAATTGCCACTTGTGACCTTCCCAGCTGGCTGTAGAAGAGCAAGCAGATCTTGGGGTGGGGAAGTGGAGAATTAAACACATCATCAGTTTAGAATGCTTGCACTGCCACAAGAGATTCAAGTCCAGTCTCTCCTGAATTCCACTGACCGTTAATTGAGCACCAATTTAGTGCTGACCATTAGATGCCTAGGTTCTTGTGCATAGGTATCAATAAATCATCTATGCTGCAACCTTATGAATGGTCCTGATTCTCTGCACCTGCCACTGGCCTCTGACAAGCAAAGTCAATTGGGAAAAGACAGATTAGCTTAACGACTGTGTGATTCGTTTAATGACCATAGTGAAAACGATCATAAATTTGGGGCTGGTCATATTGACTTGCTTTATCACCACACTGACTTATGACAGAGGTTCCAGTCTCAATTGTGATCTTAAGTTGAGAACTACCTGTACTTGTAAAGCAAAAGACAGCGCTTCAAAATTGTCACTTAAATTAAAAGGGTTTGCAAATTGTAGGATCTCGTTTTTGAGTTTGCAAACAGAAAATCACTTTTAGACAAGATCTTCTAATAGAGCTGCCCATAGCTTGATGCTCTATTGTTGTACTAGGAATTAGAACAGCTGAAATCTAATACAAATAGAATTAATTATTAATCAGGAATGAAAAACAGCTGGATTTTGCACCTTCAATCTGTTGAAGGGCTCCACACAAAGGATTTGTTTTATTACCTGGTATTTATTATCTTTTTTTTTCAAAACTGAGAAAGAATAGTTTGCTTGAATTATCTAAGGAATTCATCACAGAAGATTTTTTTTTTTTAAAAAAAGAGCGTTTCACACCTCACTTTCCCCAATACTGCTCAATCTGGAGTTTTACTTTTCCCTCAATATTTCCCACCTACAAGGGTTTGTCTCATTTTTTGGGGGAAGTGAATGCTGAGGTTGTAAAAACCAGGTATGCAGAACGTTTAATCTTGAAGGCACTGAAGTTAAACAGGTAGCTTATAAATGTTCAAATTTTCAACTTTCAAAGACCGATTCCCATTATAAACAGCCGGTTCCTGAAAATATATCTTCATATAAAATTGCTTTAAAAACACAGATTTTGTCACTTCAAGCTACAGACCTAATACACAAGACGAAGCAACACAGCTGGCATTGCTCCTGTTTTAGTGTCTGTCACTTTGTCTTATTGTCTGTCACTTGTCAAATTCACACATTGCCCTTGATCTTCACTTAATGACATACTTGTGGAAAAACTTTCCAATTTTTCAAGAGTTTTCCCATTCATTTCTACCGGAACTAATCTGCTCAACAAACACAACTGAGAAACTTTCAGGAATCTCACTAATGCAAAATGCACGCTCTCCTCATCACCCCAAACCCTGATTAACTATAGAAATAAACAGCATAGAGCACAGCAGGAAACCTACTTCATGGAGGGTAAATGTCGTAGCACCACATCAACAGCATGAACAGGGTTAGTGCTGATTGGCTTGTCCAATTCCAGAGGCTCAGGTAAGGTTCGTCCAGTCAGAACTTCATGCAACAGGTGCCAGCTTACCCGGGAAACGAATTTTATGGACACCTTGAAGGGACGGTCTTTGCCACCTTCTCCTGGCAATGTTACATCCAAATCAACCTATTGGGAGAAACACCATGGAAGAGGGTCAAGCTCAGTGTGAAAAGTCAAGAGAGATTGGCTTGTAAATTTTACTTTCGTTTCTTTGCTAACTGAAATATATAACAAACAATTGAAAACAACACTGAAGCAATTTCTTGTAGCGTTAGGTCTGTCACAAATAAGGAAACCATGTAGAGGTCTTACCCCAGTTGTTGCTACAGGGAGTGGATTGGCTGTATAAAGGCTTCTTTTACCATCGTAAACTGGTCTACGGTCACCAAATATTGTCACTTTAAAATGCTGCACCATTGAATCTACTACCTCCCTAGGAAAAGTAAAGAGGGGGGGGGGAAAGTATATTTGCACATTTAAATTGCACGGCATTCAGAGAGAATAAATAAAAGGAGTTCGTTACCTTAAATATAATTATTAATAAGAATGAAGTTGGACTACATCAGTGGTGGCGAACCTTTTAGAGACCGAGTGCCCAAACTGCAACGCAAAACCCACTTATGCATCGCTGGGTGCCGAGTGGGCGTGGCCACCAAGTGGGAGTGGCCACCGAGCTGTCGGCTCGTGCTCGCTCGCTCGCTGTCCGCTCCGACTTGTGCTCGCTCTCAAGCTGTCTGCAGCAAATGCTGCTTCCGCAGAAAGTTGCTCCTTTTATAGCCTCTCGCCTATTCCCAGACTGCGCATGCGCGGAGAGGAAGAGAGAGCAGCTCGGCCCAGCAATGGCTCACGTGTCACCAGAGACGGCTCCGCGTGCCACATGTGGCACGCGTGCCATAAGTTCGCCACCACGGTACTATATCATTAATAACAATAAAACAATCTAATCACCACACAAGGGAGATGGAAGAAGCTTACAGGTCTATTCTCAGTACCCCTATATAGTTTTTTAGTTTAGAAAGACAAAATACAGTAAAAATAATAAATAAAAATAACTTGTAGCATGTGTTTAAATACTAGACAAGCCATATCTTATCTCTGTGTTTTCTAATTTTGAATTCCTTTATGCAAAGCTGCTTATTTACATAATCGTTTCTTATTACAGTAACTTCAGCTGTCTGGCTTCCTCTAAGACACAAACATTATATTTTTTTCAGCGTCGGTAGATTAAAAACTGTCTTTACCCTGATCCGATCATTTATTCCTTCCCTACTACATTAAAACTGATGTTTTGTGCTTTGTATTCCTGGTACAGCTTTCAGATTAGAGATTATTAGATATTGATTATTTTTTTTAAAACAATCTATTTTAAAAATAGTTTAGATTTTAAAAATAAATATTTAAAATAATTTTAAATAACCTGTCAGAAGGCAATTTTAACGCTGTGAATTTTATTGACTAGTGCATTTAATCAGAACAAAATAGTCCAGACCGCTAGTGTTTTGATCCCACTTCAATCTACTTTTGAATCACATGGGGGAGGGGAGAGATCAAAAGCAATTGGTCTTTGGTGGTACACCACATCATGAATAGACATATAAGAGAAGTTCATCTTTTCAGGAGATTTATATCAACTGCTGCATTTTAGGATTAGGTGATATGACTCCATTAATCTCCACTCATACTTGGTTATTAACTACTTCAAAATGATTCTAGGAGACTCCTGTTCTGCCACATCACTTATGGAGCACATTCTATTTTGTCTTCTGAGGTTTAATAGCTACTAAAAAGCAGGAGTCTCCCAAACTTGGCAACTTTAAGACTTGTGGCTGGGGAATTCTGGGAGTTGAAGTCCACAAGTCTTAAAGTTGCCATGTTTGGAGACCGCTGTTATAAAGGAATGGCAATGATGAACATCATCTCCTGTCAGCTCTGAATTGATAATACTCTTTCTCTGACAATGACCTAAAAACCCATTTATCATTTTTTTTTAAAAATGTATAGCCAACATGTCATTTTCTTTAGAAAAGTATTATACAGCTTGAAAAGCAAATGGCTTTTTATAAAAACAGATCTGCCAATTGGCATTGGAAACAAACTGGAAGTTAATGAAGGCGTTAATACAAGCAAAATACTTGCAGTGGATTCTATTCAGTTAGATCAGACATGTCAAACTCGCGATGTCACATGACGTCGCGCAATGTATCGGAGCTTTTTCGCCATTGCCGGCAATGGGGTGGGCATGGCTCCGGTATGATGAAACCGGCCCGTGGGCCGGCAGTTTGACACCCCTGACTTAGATTATAGCAATGTGGACCCTTTGATGCTTCTGAAGCATCTTTGAAGAACGGTAATTTTGAAGTTAACAAAGCATGTTTAAAAAGTGCTACTTTCATTCCAGCAACGGAAAATTGGATTTAAAACCTCTAAGCTAGAGAAAGTTCTATTGGTCCTCATACTTTTGTACATCCTGCCTTTTTCACTCAAGCCTGCAGCTTCGTCGAAGTTCTCCAGAGATGCCATTCCTTGAATATTTTCAGTTATTGACACTAAGTGATGCAAAGTATGATTTCTCAGTCGTTTATAGAATTACAGAGGAGGAAAGTCCAACCTCTAGCTCACAGCGAGAATTCAAATTAAAGCATCCCTATCGGAAAGCTATCCAGAAGGAGCTCGCCAACAATCTTGGTAATTGGTTCTACAGCTGAAGAACCCTTACTGTGATCATTTTTCCCTAACACCCAGGTAGATTGTTTTGTGATGGATTCATGCTGACTTTTGTCATTACTGTACTGTTTTTCAAGATCACTTGAGATTAAGTGCTCTCTGAATCTCTCCAGGTTCTAAGGTATTGATGACAGATAACTGGTCTACAGCTTTTGAAAGGGAAATATTCTAAGTCATTATGGAACAGCAAACAGACTTTTGTGTTTAATATTATTCACCTTGAAACCTCAAGATACGGTAAACAAATAATCTCTTGTATAATCACAAGAACTGTGGTGGGAAAAATGGAGGGAGAGAGGTCAGTTTTGAATAGAAAATGAATATCAAACTAACAGTATAAATATAAAATACATAAAGCATAAACCTTAATGTTGCACAGAGCCCTTTTATATAAAATTTTAAAATGTTACTTATCTATACAGGTATTTTACAACTAAAATTATATTCTTTGTAATAATTATATAGCAACACCATTCCTTAAAATTAACAGGCCTCAATGGACTAAGATCACAGGATCTGAATCCAATACTATCAATTTTTCTTTGACACATCAAATTCTCTGAAGTCGCAAAACACATATTTTCATTGTTTCCTAAAGATGAGTGTTTAAGCAACACAGATCAATATTACAGCAAAAGTAAAGGAAGCATTGTGGAAAATCTAGCCAAGGATACTTACTGCATAGCATATAAACAATAGCTGATGAAACTACTCAGCAAGTATGAAATCCGTCAGCTGCAAGATCATGATTTCACATCATATGGATATTGCAGAAGCCCAAACCAGTTTGAATTCTTTTTAATTTACCCAAGCTAAATTACATGCCTAGTGCACAAATTACAGGATCCCTCAGTAGGAAGAACAAGAAACACGTCTGGTATTAAAACCTTTCCATTCAAGGGACTTCAAAATTCTACTTTTTCTTGAAATCAAACTAGAGTTAATTACCTATTTCCCCCATTTGCAGATCAAGAGACAGAGTTCTTACCTATGGGTTCAAAACCTTGAATACACGTAACAAGTTACCCATGTTTATAGTTTCCAGTTCTAATGAAGCATTTAATCAAATATAAATCTAGAACTAGAATTGCTTATGGGACACTGTGCTACTTTAAATGAAACTGTAAGACTGCAGAAGATGCAGAAACAAACAACAAAAATGTCTAAATGGTTGGAACAATTCCTGTGTTTTGATTTTCTTTGGTGCAGAAAATAGTCACGTTGGAATAATGTACGGTATATAACATGGATGGCATGGTGAAAGTGAATGGAAAGTTCTTGTATAAAATAGAATAAGTTGCACAATGAGGCATAACGGTAGTTGACTGAAGACAGGGAATTTTTTTTAACTGTATACTGTTGAGCACTGAAAACTGCTATTATAGGACTCCTGTAACACCTACCAATTTGGACAGCTTCATTGGATACAAAGCAGTTCATGATCTTTAGTCAAGATCACGATAGTATTGCTAGTAACGGTGGTAATTTGCCTCTCAAAGCCAGTTGCTGAAAAATAAGGTTTTGAGGTTATTATTCTCTTATGTTCTGTTTTGGGCTTCTCAGAGGCATCTCTTTGACCACTGTGGAAACAGAATGTCAGTTTAGATATACCCTGGGTCTGATCCAGCAGGGCTTTCAGCCTATTCAGATCTAATCCGCAACTGGTTGATTATTTGTATTCTGATTAATACATTAACAAGATTTTTTTTACTAAGCCATGACACGCAAGTTTACTATCTTACCAAGAAATAAAAATCATCCAGTAAAGCAAATTTGTTTTTTAAAAAAATCCATGTTGCTCTAATAGCACTACTGTGAAAACATGGCATTTCTTAGAAGCTCACAGTATAATTTCAGTACCAAAAAAAGAGTGTTCTATATAGAGACTAAACCAGATTCATGATGAATGTTAACTTTCAAAAGTTGTGCTTAATTTCTGTTTGAATTCTACTTATTCCCAAATTACTTAAAGTGCTAATGACTCTTAAAAACAAAGATGAAGTTACTCACTTTTGCCACATTCTACTTGCTCTGTCAATGCTAAAAGACATATGCCATTTTTTTCAAATGAATTTTAATTCCTTTCCGGTATGTGGGTGTCTATGTAAAACAACGTACGTTCAAGTTATAAATTTACTCCTCAATCCAAGAATAAAAAAATATGTTCTCCGCGTCAGCTATTTTTTTTTAAAAAAAAACAACAACAACATAAAAACACTATCAAATGAAATGTTTTCTCCTCAAACAAGAGTGCTGATCAGTTCTACTTACTAAAAGCATCTCACTTCATCGGCTAAATCAATATTAGTAAGCTAAAATAAAATTACCCATTATAACTTACCTGTTCACTCTCCTAGGACACTTATCTGGCTTAATGTCCACCTCATAGAGGTAGACGTCAATCTTTGGGATTTCAACTTGGAAGCAGTTGGCCAGCAGTTTAATAGGTTTCCCCATGGTGCCATAGCCAGGTCGTCGGGGCACCATGAGTAGGGGCTGAGCCCCAACGGTTCCTGCAAATAAAGCAAGGGTAAAACTTAAGAGATGGATGCTGAACCTGTTTTAGTGACACTGGTGCACTAAACAATCAGAATTACCCCCTTCAATACATTTGCACAAATATTGCACTAATTTCCATCTGCAACAGATAGACCAGTGATGGCGAACCTCTTAGAGACCGAGTGCCCAAACTGCAACCCAAAACCCACTTATGTATCGCTGGGTGCCGGGTGGGCGTGGCCCATTGGGTGGGTGTGTCCATTTTGATGGGCGTGGCCCTTTGGGTGGGCGTGGCTGCGGTGGTAACAGCAGACTGGGTGGGACTAAAAAGTTCAATCAATCAATTCCAACTGGAAAGGTTGGGGACCATTGTGCTAGAGCAGAGTTTCCCAACCTTTCCAGCTTGGCGGTCCGGAGGGAAAGGGAGCTGCAGAGAAAAGTGCACACGCGTGAAGCCCGCACACACATGCGCAAACGGGCACGCTCACACCGGTGGCGCTACCATTATTATTATTATTTATTAGACATGCACAAATGGGACACGTACACTCATGGCATGCATGCTGACGCCCATATGCATGCGCAAAAAAGTCACCAGCGCCCATGGCATGCATGCTGGCGCACGCGTGCATGCACAAACAGGCCACCAGCACCCACATGATGCTGGTGGCAGTGCTAGCGTCCGCACACATGCGCAAATAGGGCCACTATTGCCCGCCCAGTGGGGCAAGTGGGGCGGCACTCGCCAGCTATTTTTGGGGCCCGGTGACCAACAGGCCACGGCCAAGTACCGGGACGCGGACCATAGGTTGGGGACCCCTGTGCTAGAGTACACGCAAGAGGACACACAGCTGCCTTTATTAGAATAGGAAGATTAATTAGCCTCCCTTCTTTTATAACCATGATGTGATCCACATAATTTTCCAAAGTAGTGAACTGAAAATGTTTAGACTCCCAGTCCCAGTCCTAACTTAGGTCCAATTTGTATTTGTTTTGCCAGCACAAATATTTTTCAAGCACAACTGCACAATTGCACAAGCACAACTGCAAAAGCAATACCCATCCGCAAAAAAGAAGAAAATAATAGTACAATCAGATATGAATTAGTATGAATCAGAATAGAATATAGAATAGAATAGAAGTAGAATAGAATAGAATAGAAAATAGGAATAGAATAGAAAATAGAATAGAAAATAGAACAGAAAATAGAAAATAGAATAGAATAGAATAGAATAGGTTCTTTATTGGCCAAATATGATTGGACACACAAGGGATTTGTCTCCCAAAATATTTTCACTATCCACAATCAACACTCTCAATTTTCTGTGTCGTGTCCGGTATTGGAGCTATGCTTCTTATAAAGATCACTTGCACCTGATAGTGACATTTTCATTCCCACTATCTGTGCCAGTCATTAATGAAAACAAATAAAGAAATTAAAAGAAGAGTTATACATTACTCTGGGGTTCTTGGAATGATTCATAAGACAAATGTCATCATTTCTAGACGCAACACAATCAACCATAACCACCACTTTCATACACCTACACATAATAGAACTTGCACATATTCCCACTTATTGATTTCAGCTGTTAATATCACTGATGCACGGTAAAAAGCAGTAATGTAAATTCATTGTAAAGGGTGTTCTGTCCATGGTTTCAAAGGCTATAATGCAATATATTAAACTTCACAGAGCTTTCAGAAAATTATAATAATCACAAGAGGTTAACAGATAAAACCAACATCACGCCATTTAAGAAAATGGTTTTATGATATGAGTTCTTGTAATCTATTCTATAGAAATTTATTAATGTAGCAATTTAAACTAACAGAACTTTAAATAGTTCTAACCGGAAGAAAAGTATCAACTCAGACAAGCATTGTCTTTGTTAAGTCTATGACTTATATTTACAAAACATTGAAAGAAATAATGTAGCAAGGAGTTTAAATATTTTTTGTCATTACATCTGCTTCTCCCTGAAAGAATGAAATCCCTTTGGAGGGAGCTTTCCCATAAATCATTCCCTACTGGGAAAATACATTTATTTATTTGTTAAATTTATTCTGTTTCACATTCACAATTTATCTGAAATCATCTAAATTATAAATTTATAGTTATAAATCTAAATTATAAATCTAAAATATCTGAGACAATAGGATTGTTTAAAAGCTGCTGTTCCTGAAAGAAGTTCAAAATGAAGTTCAGCATGTAAAGCAATGTCATTACAAATTATTACAAGAAAATGTCTAACTGTTGGGACTGTACAGGTTCAAAGAGTTGGGCGCTCTTTGAAATGATTTGGGAAAAATACTTTGGAAATTTCATAGGCACAGCATTTTTCAGCTCCTAATTAAAACAGCCCGGGAGTTTTTCCATTTGAACCTGGAAAACATACAGCTGCTTTAATTAGTATCAGGGAGATATTAAGCTCCAACACAATTCTTTCAAATCATTTCAAAGGGTACAATCCTCTAATAAGAGAACATTCATGCTAAACATAGTTTGTTCCATTTTTAGCCATCCAAAATTGAAGTATAAAAATAACAGGACGAAATACATAAAAATCCCTCAAAGTAGAAATGAATGTTCAATATAAAAAGCAATTCCTTTATATGGCAATGGTGTATGTTTCACCTACGACAATAAATTACAATGCAGAGCAGGGGTGTCAAACTCGCAATGTCACGTGTCACGACATATCGCGACTTTTTTTTCCATTGCCGGCAATGGGGTGG